TTTTAGCATTTTCCTACTCCTCAGTGAACGATTTCCGTGTCAGCTTCAAGTGAATTCACGAATCTATCGCTCGCCATTTTGCAACCGGCGTTTGGCCAATCTCGTTCCCAGAGGCCGCGATCCTTTTGGTCAGCACCAAGGAATCGTTGGGCGTTCTGTCACCGCTGACCGAAACGCGCTGGCTCTGGGGACGAGATTGGCGTTTGGCAGCTTTGCACAAAAAGCCATGCAAAAGCGGGAAATTATGTCATCGATATCCTCACTAGTGAGGATATGGAAAATACGCCACTCGGGTCCCGGATGTAGTTTCGTATGAATTTTACGAGTGGTCTATTTTCCAGTAAAACACTCGTGTCTATATAATAATGTAATATCTTACTCTTAGTATATCGATACTACCTGGAAACTCTTCTTTGGAACACCTACATTAAGACGAACTTTTGTCCCGGAAAAATTAACGCTCAGATACTATTTGTATCTTTAACCTCTATTAAAGGGACACTTCACCTTGACCCCAGGTCCCCCAGGGTATCCCCTAAATGGAGGTTTCACTGTAATTACTCTGATTACTGTACGTTCTTTTCATTTCTGCAATTTTATCTCCAACATGCCCACTTTCCTATTTCGCAAGATAATAAGTCATGTGATCAATAATTGATACACAAGTACAATGTGCAGGCTGATCCCATGTGGGTTACGCCCCTGAACTACCATGTGACGCTATGATGATTTTATGTCACAGTTTATTTATTTCAATTTAGAAAGTACCCCAAGAAGCACAGACAGCTCAACTAGCAGTTCAGAAGGAAGTATGAATCAAGTGAGATTTCAGGATCCATTGTGCACTATACACAGCTATGAAATAGAACACTCAGATACTGGAGACATGGAGTGTGACTCAGTCTCGGACGAGGAGTCTGGGGAGGACATGTGTCTGGATTCCAAATGGAGCACGTGGTGTTAAAAACATAAACATGGAATAATTGCATGTAAAATCTATGCATAGCAAGTTTCCGTCAATCAAACGCAGAGGTACTTAATAGTTGTTTGATGCATTGTTGGCCGGTGGGGCCTAAGCATTCTCATCCTCAGAGTCCTTCAAGTCTCTTAGCCGCCGTGGTCTTGACTCGGCTTATGCAAGCACAAGTATTGCAAAGGACCTTGAATTGAGATAAACTGTAGCACTGTATGTCTGATATTGTTAGTAATAAAGATACAAGCTAGAAGTTGCTAGAGGTATCGGTGCGAATAACTAATTTGAAACCTCCCGTTTTCTGACCAGGGCGACTAAATGTAGGCCGATGAAACGTGAGCGAAAAACTGTGATTCAGCACCTCTAGATCTACTGAAACGCGAACATTCCACCGTCATTGTGGAGTCTAGATTCCACACAGGGTTCCACGGTTTCTCCATCTATATAACCAAGAGAGCTCTTGATATGAGTCAGCTGCGTTTTTTCGCGTATTATTTTTGCTCCGAGCCAAAGAAAATAGGTGAAATTTTCAGGGCTGAACTGAAGCAAGTTGTCAACTTTCGCTGTGTGAGAACAAGATCCGCTAATTGTTCGCAAAGCTTTTGAGTTTCTTTACAATCGCGTTAGGGGAAAGTTCATTTACTATGGAAAGGGGGGGGGGGGGGGGGAGGTATGAAGATGTTGAAGGGGGGCCCTGAAATTTTTGGAGTGTGTTTAGGGGGGCTGTGGAAAAATTATGACGTCACAGGGGGGCGCAGAAATTTATTTCTCTTGATAACAGCACTTTAATTTTGCTTTTTTGCTTCTAAAGAGAAATTGCAAATTTCCAGCCCATAAGGGACTGTGCAATAATTACCAGGAGGGGGGGGGGGGGGGGGGGGTGGAAAACCAGAGGGGGGCATAAAGTAAAATCACTGGCAAGGATAGGGGGGGGCTCAAAGTAAAATCAGTCACTCAAGAGGAGGGGGGGGGGGGGCCTTAAAATATTATTGTATTTCAAGTACATATTACAGTGGGGCCATAAGTGTTTTCACCCACAAACTCCTTCCCTAGATCCGCCACTGGTTCCCACTGAAAGGCTTGATGTTCTGTTAGCTGTGACTGAACTGCAAATTCAAATTCAATCCGTTGCAATATGATAGTCTATTATTCTCTATAAGGTTGCAAAAGCCCCTAACAAGCTGTTAACAGTTAGGTATCCCATAAACCCCTAGTTCATAGGCCCTCATAACACATAATTGTTGTAGGTTGAACAGAAAGTGTTCTCATAACACATGACTATGTTGAACATTGCTTCAGAGGTGATGTTTGTTCCAGACGCGGATGTCCAACAAGTAAACATGTAGTAGGAGCTCTTCTTTCTGTTATAAATCTTAATCACCTGATAATTATTGCACAGTCCCTAACCTAAACACAAAATCTTTGTTTCAAATTTGAGCTTTGATTATTGTCTGACAATTTAACAACATCCTCTTCCCAGAAACAGGGAATACAGAAAATTGTTTTTTATATCTTGACTTCACAAACGCTTTTCGAGTCTCGGGAATGCAGGAAATGGCGGTTTAGATGGTAAAATCAAAACATTTTCCTGGGGAGCATGCCCCCGCACCCCCCTAGAGGCTCCTCCATTTCAGAAAATCCTGGATCCGCCTCTGTAGTTGCTTCGCTGCGGGTATTTTTAGAAAGAGTTCACTCGGGGGAAAACAAAGGTCTCTGTTAACCTAGGATTTAAAATGCATTCAAAATGGTTGTCGATGTGATGACAGCAAATAAACTTTAATATCATGAAATTCACAAATTACGAACTATTTATAATATCTTGTTCTTCATTTGCTTATAGCTTTTACTGGGAATTTGCGATCTTTTCCGATTATTCAGCAACGGGATAATTGAATATAAAAATGATCATTCCTATGCCGATGAAGAGTTTTGTTTCGAAATTGCGCGCGTTCTTCATCTATCTTCGAAGTCAAAGTTAAAGTGTATATGACACGAAATTTTTATTTCGTTTTTGATGTATAAAAAACGGTTTGAGCCTTTAAACCTCTGAACACTTGCAAAACTTATTCTGAATTGATTTTGCTGTATTTTTGCCTTGATTTCTGTAAAATTTGAGGAATCTGTGCAGTGGTAGACAATTTTTACATAGCAACGCCTATAGCAACGATTGTTTACAGTGAGAAAAACAGTTACCGAAAAGAGCCATTTCAATATATTTAAATTAAATTTCATAGCCGAGCATTTAGGACGTATATAATTTGAAATTTATAACAATTTCCCCGAAACGTTTTTTTAATTTCGATGTTGTGAGCTCATTTTACTTTCTTATGAATTGGAATATTTTGCACAGTTATCGTTAAATACGCAGATAATGCAGCGAGCCTTACCCCCATCCCCCCCGCAAACACCCCTCCCCCCGTTTCTTGTTGATTAAACACCAATCTAAACTCTAATAAACTTTAAGTGCATTTTTCTCAAATTGTTGGGACCAATCTACCTTTGCTCAACATTTCTACTTGGAACGGTATTTGAAGGAATTTTCTGAAACTTGGGGTATTTAGATATCAATAGGGTCTTTATCCAATGAATATAAAAAATTGAAGTATTTGAAGTTAGATCACTGTTAATTGATGTTTCCATGGTAACGACACATGTAAAAATATGTAAATTAAGAAACAGTTGTAATTTTGTGGTAGTTTGGTATAGAAAAGTTGGGTTCATAAAGCTATATGCTTAGGCCATTTTGATACCAATATCATGTGAATGAGCCTCTAGTTATTGACATATCCTTTTTATAAAAACACCACTTTTTCACAGTTGGCTCCCAGAACTTGGTTACTATGGAGACAACATGTTAAACAAAAATGGCCAAGAGTATCAGTTTGAGTTGATCTCTCCAATGGTGCTTAAATTAGTTGGGTAGAACAAAACTGAAAATTTACAAATTTGAGTGGAAGACCACCTTAAAAATCTTTGAAAATATTTTTAAATGCAATTTTTCCGTCCAAAATGACATACATCTGTGACGTCAAGTTGTTTGCAAGCTATCCGAGATGGCGGTGAGTCAAGTAGTTCGTAGGAAGTATGCATGTGTTGGCCCGCCACTTGAACTTAGGCCTCCTCGGAGGGAAACTACATCTGGGCTCCCCAGATTCTGTTTATAGTTGATTATCAACTCGGAGTTGATAAAGGTAAATTAACCGCCGTAGCGAATTTCTAAAAGCTGACGTTTCGAGCGTTAGCCCTTCGTCTTGCTCTTGCTCTTGAGCTGTATAAACGCAGGTTCAGAATTGATCAAAAGCTTGCGAAACACTCTTGAACAAAACAATAATTGAACCGACTATTTTCTCCGTTGCCCTTGGTTGCCCTGGTTTTTGTCACAATAATTGGATCTGTCATTTTGGACCAATCAGAATGCTGCGTTCGTGGACGAACGCAGGACATTGAGACACCGGGCCTCGCGTGCAGGCTCTCATTTCTCGTCCCACTCCCTCGCGCTCCGCGCTCGAACGTCACGCAATACTATAAGGATCACGATCGCGCTCCGCGCTCATCGCGCGAATGAGAGCTTGCTCGCAGGCTATCCACCCGAAGTTAATTTGAACTCTTGCCAAAACCAGTCGGGAGAATCCCAAATGCATCGCGCTCTTTTTCCACAGATTCTAAGCATATCGTTTGCTCTTCCTTGAGCCGAGGGCCTAGGATATCTGAAAGATCTGATGGCAAAGAATAAATCAAACAACGCGTGACCTTGTTGTCAACATCTGTCATCATTCACCGCGAATCTGTCAATAGCGATTTGACCAAATACTCGGCGGCTTCAGGCTCCGTCGCCTTCGTTCTCGCCCCGAGCAGCGAGCCAGCGACTCAGCTCGCTTAGCTCGCAGATTTTCTTTATATTAGGAGCTTGATCTCAGGCTAGTAAAAACCAGCTTTCAAAATACAACTCACGCGGGTGCCACACAAGAAATGAAACCCGATGGAGCCAGAAAAAAAAAATTGAAAAAAAAAATTAAAAAAAAGATCGTGTCAGAAGTGGGATTCGAACCCACGCCTCCATTCGGAGACCAGAACGCCCAACTCCCATGACTCATGGGAAGGATACTATCCTTGAGTCTGGCGCCTTAGACCGCTCGGCCATCCTGACATCACTGAAGTTTAGGTGACTGTTTTGTTTATTTAAAGACTTATTCTTTATATGAACTTTTATTCATAAAAATGTCTCTTTTTGTTTACGAAATTAGGCTGACTCGTATTAAATTTACTTCGTATACGTAAATATTGTAGTGTTTCTAAACGCGATTCTATTTTCCATATAAATGACGACAATGACCAAATATGTGTAGTTTGCGCGCACGGAAAATACTGGAACCTAGTCTGATCCGAAACGCCATGCATGTTTACATAGAGCCGTGATGCGAAACAATTCCTCGTTTTACAAGCCAAAAAAAGCCGTAATTATCGCAAAATATCAGGGTCCTGACATAGCGCATGAACAAGTTTTGAAAAACAATGTGAAATGTGCATCAATCGTGGAAAATCGCGATGGAAAACTTGCCCGATTCGAAGCACAAGTGAACTTGAATGTTGGCCCCATCTTCGGAAAAGTACTTTGGCACCAAATCAGCAATTCAGCATATTTTTGTGTTCATTTTACTACATGGCTCTTTTATCAGTGGAGAAGAATTGAAGAAAGGAAAGGTGAGGGAAACTCGACGGCTGGCCGCTTAATAGTGGCTGGCCGCTTAATGGGGGTTTTATTTACAGTATTATACTGACATTGGGACTTTGATAGCTGGCCGTTTCTGCCTCGTCCCCAGGCGTCGCTCCTTGTTTGAGCGCGGTGCACGTGGGGTTGTGGGACTGATCAAGCCCCGCGCTCCCTGTTTTCCCGCTCGCAACAGCGCCTGGGGACAAGGCAGTGGCCACTAACTAGTGGCTGGCCGCTTAATAGGTGGCCACTAATACCCGGGTTGTCTAATAGAATGCAATCGAACACCAATTCCCCCATATAACGCAACAAAGAAACAACAACAAAAAAGACAGAGATTCCTTTGTTGGCTGAGAGAGAAGTTTATTCGTAAAGCAAACAAAATCTAAAAACATACAAAATCTCTGGCCCGGGAGGGATGGGCGGGAGAAAGTAAGTATATATGAGATACGTTACACTGTAGATACAAAAGGCAACTGAACTAATCGGAAGGAAAGCAGATAGATATACATGTATGGTAACTTGATAAGGCCTTGTGAAGATTGATTGACATATTAGAAAACCACAATAGCGTGAGGGGTCAATTAATCATTTTGGGAAGATCCCAAAATAGGCCAATCGTTTGAATGTGTTCGGTAATCGAACATAATCGAACTCACAAAAAAATTTTGTCAATCAAACACAATCAAATGTTCGATTATCGAACGGTCAGCAATCAAACTCAATTGAACCATAATGGAACGTTCGATTACCGAACTCCTGTTTGTTTGTTTGAATATAAACATTGATAAAAACTAGGTGTAATCACAGATTATTAAAGTGCGTTCAACACTGAAAAGGTTAAGGACGGTGGGTTTTCGAGTTGCAGACAGAAAAGTTAGAGACATTAAACAGGGTTCAACATCTCCGCTAGCCCGGTCGCCCAAGGCAAGTAAAAATGCAGCCGGGCTAGTAAATATTGCATGTTCAGTAGTCTGTGGGCGAGTAGAAAATTTATAGAGAATTTAATGACGAGATGTAAAGATTTTGTTAAAGCAAATGCAACAAATCAATGCAATAGAACATTATCAATGTCAAAAGCACCTTTTCTACGATATCCGACACCGCAGGGTTTGATCTTGCGAGAATGTCGCGTTTACATGACAATTTGTCGCTTAAAAATGGGCAGGTGCGCCATAATTGTTCCTCCAAAAATGGAAAGTACGCAACTGTGACAAACTTACCATTCGCCAGGCTGGGAAACCTGCTTTTTCAGTTCTAACTTTGCAAGGATCTTTGCCATAAAATCAGTCACACAATAAATTAAAGTTAAAAAACAATTTATCGACTGGTCTTGTTTGCTTTCATCACAAGAAATATCGCCCAAAACAAGTCAACAAAGTTTCTCTCGGCTCAGTAATCATATCGCCCTATAATGCATAATTTGCAAGCTGTGAAAACTGTTGAATACATTATGTATACCGATGGATTGTGTCTCTGGTGAGAAGCACAAGCACCTTCCACCAGACAATTTTCTTAGGGACAACCCTGCAAACCAGTTTGTAACTTTGGAGGTAAATTAAACCAAAAACACATTACAGTACATGTAGGTAGAACAGAGAGCCAAACTGAAGGCCTTATAAACCCAGTGTATGATTTCGTTTTTCTTTGTTTCATAAATTATTAATGAGTTTGAGAACCTGGGCAAAACCAGACAACTTTCTGTGTCAAAGGTAATTTATTCCTGGGTTTGTTGAAGGAACAAAAGTTTCAGTATGAAAACCCTATCTATCCCTATCTATCTTTCCTGTTTGTCCCTTTGCAAAGGCCTTGAAGGGACAAATTGTCTCCTATAGGCCACAGGGCTGGCTCAAATCCTGTGTGGGCGAAGGAGCCACAGATAGTTCGTACAAAAATAGTCAAGGTTGAAAGTAGTGGAGGAGGGGAAGGGGGCAAATGAGGGAAGAAAGAGCCTGGACTACTGACATGTCAAATGGGCTAGTAGGTTTTTAAAGGCTACTAATTCAATTGAACAGATGTCGAACCCTGATTAAACATTGTACAATTTATCCGGGCAATTTATGCACAGTTCTGGGCACAGTTTACTCATGTTCAGGCATGGTTTATAGTCATGCAATTTGGGCTTTCAGTTTGGTGCAATTTTTGAATTGCAATATGAAACCATATGCAAGTTGTAACTAAAGAACAGAAACGTCATTGGCCACCCTCAAAAACATATATTTAGACTTGATTATTTATAACATCCGCAGTTTCAGTAATAGATCATAGGGTACCTGTATGAAGTTGGAATCAACATTAATGCTAGCAAAACAAACTTAAAAAGTTGACCTGTGGATTAAATTTCAAAGAGAAATTTGCATTCCTTCAATGTGTTATTTTATACATTTATGATTATGTTTGGCAAAATAAACCTCAAAATTTTTCAGTAGCTTGGAGTTTTATATTAGGCGGAGTGTACATATATATTAAATATGACCAGAGTTTAAGTTAGGAATCTCTGAATGACAATTAAATGGCCGGTATGCAGACTATAAAAAAGTATAACACAATTATATTTTTGAAATAGAACCATATATTCGATGGTGTACTACATGTACAAGCACAACTACACATTCATTTTACTGGACTGTTTAGCGCAATGACTGTTCAACAAACTCAGTACACATAAACAAATTATGAGACATAAATAAAGTCACTTTCTGCTGATTTTCGTTGGTGTGTTCCGAAGGGATTTTACTGGAATGTACATCTTTTCGAATCTTTATGGATTACTTGAATTGACTTCAGTACAGTGATTAAGTAATCAACAATCGCTTGTGCGTTCCGAAGGATTGGAAAATATGTACAAGAACTGTTATAAGCTTACATGTAACGGCATCGACAAAACCTGGATCGGACCGGATCGGATCACGGACCAGATCACGGATCGGATCAACAACAAAAAATAAATAAATAAAAATACAAATAAATAAAGAAATAAAGAAGCCACAGGAGGTTTTATGTACAAGATAAAGAAAATACTACAAATTATATTCAAATTCAAACCGTTAACTCTGAAATAAAGCGCTCAACAGTGGAACAATAGCTTTCTGTGGTGAAGCACAGTGGCGATGCTGGGCGGACTACATTAAAGTACAGTGGAACCCGGTTAATACGGACACCAAGGGGACACGTATTATCCGGGTGTCCGTATTATATTAAGCGGGCTCCCAGAATAAACGTCACAGACGCAGGTTTTATCGATACAAAGACTAAAGCATACAATTTAAAGGCAACAGAACCGGCGATGTTTAATCTCTTAACTGTAATTTAAGTTCAAACTGAGGAAACCTTACACTCAGGGGGGGCAGGCAGCGCCCTTTGATCTTGCCGCTTTTCCGCAATACATGATCGCACAAGTAAAGAAATCTGTCAATCATTCGAGAAACGTACCTCTACGGGAGTTTGCTGTGGAATTTTCATCCATGGTGTCCCACAATGACCAAAGTTCAGTTAAACAGCGACCGAATCGTTCCCATAGATGTTTGGACGTGGAATCGCCAAAATATTTCTGAACGAACACAAACGCACGTCATGTCAGCCATCGTCCGCCATGTTTATTTTAAACAAACCAGTACTTAGTCTCACTCGGCCAAATTTCTAAAATGTGCAATCATATATACTAGGTCCCAGGCCTCGCTGCTAGCCCCCCCTGCTTACACTCATTCAAATACTAGTAGTAAAATTAATGTTCTCTTGTTTGAAACAGGACGATGTAATCATTTAAAATAGTCCGTGCATTGGCATTTTCAGTTTGCGGTTCAACCAGACAGATTGAATATTAGACAAAACCTTTGAAAGACTCGGTTGGCAGCTTTTGTTAGGTTCTCTCAGATAACCAGTGTCCGTAAAGCGAGGTTAACTTTGTATGAGAGCGTGTCACTCGGGTCACAGAAAAGTGTCCATTGTCCGTATTAACCGGTGTCCGTATTAAGCGGGTTAATGTAAGAGAAACTATTTGAGCCTTTCATCGGGACAAACAAAACTGTTCGTAATAAGCAGGTGTCCGTATTATATAAATTAAGCTGGTATCCATAAAGCGGGGTTCCACTGTAACTACTGTGAACAGAACATTTTTTTAAAATTTAGGTCTGACATCCTTATAAAGTTAATATTATTTTGCAATAAACGTTAATATATCTTGTTTTTATTTTAACTTTTGCTCCCGCCTCGATTAGTTTTGTAACTAGTAGCGGGTGCAAGCACTCTGACTTGTAAATTATATCTATAAAATTGAATAAAGTTGTTGTTTGTTGTATATAAAATCGAATCTACCATAAAACGAGTATGAAATACACCAAAAACCTGATGATGTGAAACGATATCGCTTTCCTTGGATACTATACTTTTTAAAGATAAATTTGAAATTAACTGAACTATAATCTCATTTGAATAAA